ATTCTTCAATATTAAAATGCATTATTAGTAGGTAAGGTTTACTGTAGGGTTGTTCAGAAAAAAATCTATAAATGTAATATACTACTTTAAAAGATTAAACCATATGACCTTCTCAAAAGAATGCAAGCATTATTAACACTCAAGACTCAAGCATGATAAAAAGCTCTTTACAAACTAGAAATGAAAGGAAACTTTCCTAGTTTGAAAAAAGGTAACTATCAAAACATGCAGCAAACCTCATACTTAGTGGAACATTCTCACTAATGATAGGATAAGACAAGGATTCTCACGATCCCCCTTATTATTCAGCATTAGCCAGGAGGCCCTAGCCAATGTGATAAAATGAGATAAAGGGGAATAATAATTGGACAGAGAGATATAAAACTGTCATTTGTACAAAATATGATACTCTATATAGGAAATCAGAGAGAAGATGGAGACAAATCATTAGAATGAAAAAGAGAATTCTCTAAGTTTTCTGACTATAAGGAAAGCATACTAAAATCAATGGTGTTTTATATACCAACTATAAGCAATAAAAAAGTGTAATAGAAAAAAAATAGTGTTTAGAGCAGTAACACAAATCATAGGATACATAGAACTATATGTAATAAAAATGTATAAGACTTTTATGGAGAAAATAATAACATGGTATTGAAGGACATCCAAGAAGACCTGAATAAATGGACGACTATATTATGTTCATTGATGGAGACTCAATATTATTAATATGACAAAATATTTTCAAATTAATCTATAAGTTCAATGTAATTATAATAGAAATCTTTACAGGATATTGTATGGTACTTGACAAGCTAATACTAAACTAAATTTGGAATAGTAATGGGCCAAGAATAGCAAAGAAAATTTTGAAGAAGTATAAGATAAGAAGACTTGTTCTACTAGATACTATGATTTATTAAAACTTGAGTGATTACAATCTCTGATATTTCCCTACAAGCATGTTCCATCCACTCTATTCTCCACTCAAGCCAATAATATTAAGGATCATCTTTGACTCTTTCTTTCTCTCAAACCCTGCTTCCAGTGTGCCAGGAACTGCTTTTGGCTGTCTTCAAAANAATCATCTTTGACTCTTTCTTTCAAACCCTGCTTCCAGTGTGCCAGGAACTGCTTTTGGCTGTCTTCAAAATATATCCAAAATCTGATCATGACTCATGACTTCCTCTGGGACCACCTGGTTTAACCATTCTTTACGTCTCTGCTTGGTCCACTTCAGTCTACTCTCAGCAGAGGAAAGCCAGAATGATCCTTATAAAACATAAGTTATGTCATTTATTCTCTGCTCAAAACTCAACAGTGAGCATCCATTTCACTCAGAGTCAAATCCAAAGTCCTTCTATAACCCACAAGGCCCTACGTGATTTGGCTTACTGATTATGTCCCACTGCTTTCTCCTGCTCAATCCACTCAGGCCACACTGGCTTCTTTCCTGCCCCTTAAACGTAGCAGGCATATTCTTGGGGCCTTTGAAGTGACCGTTTCTTCTGCCTGGAACATCCTGCCCCTCAGATATCTGAGTGGGTGACCACTCACCACATTCAAGTCTTTGTTGGAAGTCACCATCTCTTTGAGGCCCACCTTGAACACATTATTTAACATTGCATCTTCCCCAGCACTCCTGACCGCTCTGACCTTGCTTTATTTTTTTTTAAAATACTTCTTTATATTCTTAAACTTGCTACGTCCAGGTACTTCTTTATTATTTTTAGTGCTTATTATTCGTCTTCCGCCAGTAGCGTGTAAGCACTACAAGAGTGTAGGATCTTTCTTGTTCACTCATGTGTTTCAAGTGCCTAGAGCACTTCTTNCAAGAGTGTAGGATTTTTCTTGTTCACTCATGTGTTTCAAGTGCCTAGAGCGCTTCTTGGCACATAGTAGGTAATTAATAAATATTTGTTGAGTAAACTACTGAAGAACAGTATGTTATTGGTGGAGAACTAGATAAATGGGTGGAACATAATGGGACCACTCATAATGACATATAATAGAGATGACATTAGAGATAAGTGGGGAAAGAATTGATTATTTAATAACTTATAATTTATTTTGATACTTTGATATCTATATAAAAAATTAAATTGAATCCCTGCCTCACACCCTACACAAAAAAATATTTCCAGATGAATTAGCAACCTAAATGAAGATCAAATGTTTAAAGCTTCTGAGAATATAGGATATTGTTTTTGTAATTTTAATGTATGGCAAGAGTTCTTATGCATGATGCACCAAAAGCACAAATTATAAAGGAAAATGTAGAGAAATTTAACCACAGTTAAAACTTAAAACATCTGTATGACAATACAGGGTAGGCTAGCTGCTAAAGTAGCCTGTCATGTACCTGTGCCTAGAATACTTGCAGTACTCTTTAGTGCCATCACTGTTAGTCATTGTATGATTCAGAAATATTTTATTCAACCCACCCTGCAGACTTCTGAACTTCAGGGGCTGGGGCGCTTCAGCTTGGCACACTGAGCAACTCCTGGATTGTGTGTGGCCTTTTATGCTCAGTAATGCAGCCCAGAGACTTTTATCCACCCTTCCCCGGAGATGTCCTGTTGTCATTTCTGGGAAGGTTAATTCTATGTGCCAAGTTGAGCTGGCTAAGGGATGCCCAGATAAAATATGATTTTGGGTGTGTCTGTGAGGCTGTTTCTTAGAAGAGATTAGCATGTGAATGGGCAGACTGAGTAAAGACCCCCCTCACCAATACGGGTAGGCGTCATTCAGCCCATTGAGGGCCTGGATAGGACAAAACACTTGCTCTGTTTCAGCCATGACATCCGCTTTTCCTGCCCTTGAGCACTGGTGCTCCTGTTTTAACAGGCCTTTGGATTTGGACTGGAATTACAGTACTGGCTTCCTAGGTCTCCAGCTTTCAGACTGTAGCTAATGAGACTTCGCAATCTCCATAATTGTGGGAGCCAAGTTCTCATAATAAATCTCTCTCTCTCCGTGTATACACACACACACACACACACACACACACACACACACACTCACTCTTCTTTTGGTTCTCTTGGTTCTGTTTCTTTTGAGAACCCTGACTAACATAATTCCCTTATCTCAGGAGTGCAGTGAAGTAAAATTAACAGTGAATCCTTGTTCCAGAGGCTTGAGGATACTTAATTTTTATAAATATTCAGTAAATATTTAGTTATATTCACTAGCAGCAGACAGTTCCTTTGCAAACAGGTACATGGTATGTAGAAGTGTATAACTCAAGTAATGCACATGCTTATATTTTCCTTTGAATTTTTTGCTTTCCTTTTAAAAATGTATACACTTTTCATTTTTGAAGTCATATGACTATTGCAGAAAATCTTGAAAAGTAAAAAAATATTTCTGTCGTCTCACCACTGTAATATGTTTATAACTTTATATTTTTTTCTAGTCTACTTTGGTATGAATATTTTTTCATAGTTGTAATAAAAGCATGTACATAATTGTTTTTTCTTTGCAAATTTAGCTTTAGGCAATAATGACATAATCATATACATATTTCCATGTTGCATTGTTACCACAACAATCATTTTTTTACTGCATTAAATTTCATCATTTGACTCTATTATATTTTTTAACTGTTAATCTAATTTTTGTTGGTATATTTCCCCTCACATTTGAGCAAATATATTTTTGTATAATATGTAATGTTATGCACATTGCTTTTCGGTTATTGTTGCTCTGAATATTTAAAGCAGAATATTAACAAGCGTCAAGAATTTCAGTAAACTTCTATCTAATTTTTCTTTCAGCTCTGTCATCTAATCTAACAAGTCTAGTGATCATAGTAGGAGGCATATATTAATTTGCCAACTGTTGTTCCACCTGAGATCTTAATTATATATGACTTAAAAATGCCATAAAACTTGAGTGAGGCAGTCATCTTGTTTACATCTAGAAATAGGCCACAGACAGCAGTTGTGCACAGTTAGAAACTTGTGGTAGAAAATGAGGGCTCTTTGCAGCCCAGGGAAAATGTAAGTCATCATTTTCAATGCGTGTAAGTATGTGCATTCGTGGGAGATGGGTCTTAGTTTTCATATGTTCAAAGGAATCCAGTAACTACTGGTATGAGCGCCATGTTTGCTAGTTGAATGGGATGCTATTTTTGTGAGTTTCTTTGTTTTTGTTTCTTCCTTCCCCGTATTTCTCCCCTCTCTTTTTCCTCATTTATTACACTAAGTAATAGAACCCCAGAAAATGTTCTTATTGGGGAGTGATGATCTGTCAAATGAAAGCTTATGACTTAAAAACATTTTAAAAACTGAGCACATACGTGAAATTGTTAATCAAATACTTTGTCAAACTGTGTTGATTTGGGGAAGATTTCCCATTTAGATCGGTATTTTAGTGTTACCTTTCCTTGCTAGAATTTTTTTTTACAAAGCATAAGGGTGCTTATTATTAAATAAATTTCTACTATTAATACAAGCTATTACGTTTTGATGAGTCCATAATGAATCAAGTGTGGAAATCATTCATCAAATGTAGCTAGCCTTTTACTGTTATTTGGAAAAGTATAGCTTTAGTAACTTCATTAAAATGTTAGGCTTTCTGCCCAGCCAGTGTTGCTCAGTGGTTGAGCGCCGACCCATGAACAAAGAGGTCACTGGTTGATTCCGTCAGGGCACATGGCCAGGTTGCAGGCTTGATCCCCAGTGGGGGGCGTGCAGGAGGCAACCGATGGATGTTTCTCTCTGTCCCTCTCCCTTCCTCTCTCAAATCAATAAAATCATATTTAAAAATGTTAGGCTTTCTATGCTTTTGCACAACTAAAGGAAAGAAACATCCTATGCAAATAATCTGAAATAAAATTATTTTTAAATGTTAGAACCTCTCCTTTAAATGATAAAATCTTAGTGATTTTTGATTTTCAAGTGACAGGAACAACTCTTTCCCAGTGTAACAGAGCTTATAAATGCAATGACTATCTTATTTCTGGTAAAAGACTAATCGGTATTTTATGTTTTTCTTAGGAATGGGCTGTTTCTGGGGAGCTGAGAGGAAATTCTGGACCCTGAAAGGAGTATATTCAACTCAAGTTGGTTATGCGGGAGGCTACACTTCCAACCCTACTTACCAAGAAGTCTGCTCAGGTAGGAAGAATTTGCTCCATCGTGTTACTAGGAAGAACAAGGAAGGCCTTGTCCCTAGGGGCAGGTGACAGGGTCTTGAAACTGGAAATGGAATTTTTGTGTGTGTTTCCTCAGTCTTCTGTTTCCCGTTTCTGTAAATAGACTCATTGGCCTCTCACTTTATATTCTCAGGAGATAATGAACTTCCTGTGGAATATATAACTTAGCTTTTGCTGCAGAATAATCACCCCAAACCTTAATCACTAAGACGATCATTTATTAGCTTATGATTCTGTAGGTGAGCAATGTAGGCTATGCTCAGTGTGGCAGCTCTTCTGGTCTCATCTAGACTCACTCATGGGATGCCAGTCAACTGGTGGGTTGCCAGAGGGCTAGTTGGGTTAGGATGGCTTCACTTATACGTCTGGCAGCTGCTGCTGGCTGTCGGTTAATGCTTGCTGTTGGGATAATGGGGACGATGGACCATGGATCTTTGGCAGGCTGGCCTGGGCTAATTCATGTGGTGGTGGATATAGAGATTCCAGGACCAGCAAGTGAGGACAAGCCCCATTCTGCTAATACTTTGCAAGTCTCTTTTGGTGTCACATTTATTATTGTCCCATTGGCCAAAGCAATTCATATGGTCTAGCCCAAAGTCACTGTGGGAGGGACTCCCCAGAGGCATGTGTACAGGGAGGTGTGAAGAAACTGGGACCATTACTGTAACAGTTTACCACATGGGACAAACGTGTCATATACTAGACATGTTTTCTTGAGGGAAAAGTATTAAAAGCCAAGCTATAAGAAGGGATTGGCAACCTGGGCCTATGCCCTGACCGGGAATCGAACCGGCAACCTTTCGGCACAAGGGACGATGCCCAACCAACTGAGCCACACCGGCCAGGGCAAGAGTTGAAATATTTTTATTGCTGTTGAGAATGTGGAATATCAAATAAATACTTTATAATGGTTAATCCATTTTTTTCTTTGCTTCTCTTTCAAAATTAAACAAATGCTTATGCGAGCTGTAAATAGAGAGATTTAGGTGAACTCTGGAGATTGCCCAGGTATATCCTCTTAAGTCTCAGAATGGAAATGAATAGATTCCTTCCTGTAATTGCAGACATGACTTAATAGCCTAAGAGAAAAGGTTGCTAGGAAAACCTTCAAGTACCTACTGCTTATACTATTATTACCCACCAGCAAAATGTTAAAAACCAATTAGAATATTGTGATTGCTTATTTGCTCAGGTTCATTGCAGTTCAACTTTTCACCTTCACAATGATAGCATGATAATACCCTTTTGTTGAATTCCTACTATGTGCCAGACATTGTAATAAGCACTTTCGCATCTTTGCTTTTTTACCATCTAATCTTCCAAACAGTTCCCACAAAGTTTCTCAATCTCTGTCTTTTACAGAGGGAGTGTTGGGGCTCAGAGAGAAAAAGTCATTTACTCAAGGTCATATGTAGCAGGAACTCCAACCTCATTAGCTCTTAGCTCAAAAAGTTTAGGTCATTGACCATGGTGTAAGTCATCCAGCTCTCATTATGTCCCAGTGATTCTCCATTTGTCTATTCACACTTCTTTCTACCACGTCACACGTCCTTTTTCATGTCTATGTCTCTACTATACTTTTTAGTATATTGGTGTGCTTTTTAATGATTACTGTGAGGAAAACCCTTTTAAGATACAGTTCACGCAGACAGCTGGTGTGTTAGAGGCCTGTAGCAATGGTAAAATACAGACACCATGGAGCTTGGTAAAGGACTGTTTGATGTGAACACTAAGTGGTGGCATCAGGAAGCATGGTTGTCATGGAAACTTTTCCTGATTGGGACAAGGTAGTTATAGGGTCTTACCCAGACACAGAAGGAGAGATGATTTCTTTCCCCAGGCTTTTTTTGTTCTGATCATGAAAGGGAAAAACAAAAAGGCAGAGAGAAACTGTGATAGAAAGGTCCCTCTGGCACAGAAGTGGTTGAGTCTTCAGATCCCTGGGAATAGCAGGGAAGGAGAACAAACAAGGTCCCCAGCCAGAGTAATTATGATAACCAGCTAATTAAAGATTTTTGACCGAGATGAGGATGGGGAAGACAGAAAGCAAGTTATACTGGTGGGGCCTCCCCACTGAAGCCTCAGGTGCTCAAAGCCTTGTTGAACAAGTCAGCCCTGGAGGGGTCTGACTTGTAAGGGAGAAAAACCAAGTCTCCACTAAGATGCATAATAATTGCTGAGGTTTCATGTAAGAGAAATACTAGTCTATGCTCCATGTATTTGAGTTAATTTCAAAATTGCTTACTCTTGCATTTGTAATTAAGTTTGAAAAACTTTGGTCGCAACCCAGGAGTCTTTTGTAAAAGTATGTATGCATGTATGTGTGTATGTATGTATGTATTCATTCATTCAGTCAGTCATTCACTCATTCATTCAAGAAAAGAAGCCTAAGGACATGAGTTGCTTGCCAAATTTCTTCTCTCGTATAGCAGTATATTTGAGCCTAAGGTACCATTTGGTTTCTTGGGGGCAAGTGTCATAAAGAGAGGGGTAGCACTCAGGATGGGGATCTCAAAATCCAATAGGGCAAGCTTTACCACCCTCCCCACCCCACCACTAACCCATCACATGATGACAAATGTCACAGCTTCTGCAAGCATTGCCTGGGTACACAGATCAGTGGTCACAGGCATGGAATCAGAACCACTGGCTGTAGTTTGCATGCCTACTTGCTAGTGGGTATGCACAGCCTCAGGGGATAAACAAGTGTGCCAGTGTGTATTCAAGTATAAAAGTACATGTGCATTGAGATACATATTAATGTCAGGATGATTTTTCTTTGTGGCTACTGATGGGCCTGTGATTCTGAAACCAGAGCTCAAGTTGCTATTAGGCACATAGGAAAGATATACAGTTTCTAACAGACAGGTGAGGAGGGGAGCCCCATGGTGATACATGGGTAGGGTATGCCTGTCTGACATGTAAGCAGAACATTCATGAATGGCTCACCAATGGGTCTGTTCCATGCTGGGTGATCTGGGATGCAACTTGAGCCTAACTTATGTAGAAGATACTAGGGGACAACAGTTCCTCAAGAATTTCAATAAAGTTGCCCTTTGGGAATGGAAGTATAAAGTAAGCCTATAATGAATCAGAGCAGAGATAAGCAGTCACTTAGAAGAAAGCTTGGCTTCTGGGTCTGTAAGACCTCAGAGTAACCTGATGGAGTGCCTTGACCTATGTAAAAGGGAAAAAAAATAGGACCTCAGCAGGGAGTCTGGTCAGCCAGGCCAGCCTGGGAGAGGGGGAGTCCTGCTGGCACCCTGTGGGTTGCTCTGTAAGGTTTGGCTGCTGGATAGACTACCAGAGCCTGGCACCATGACGCTTTTAAGTTCTATCACTAACTTCTCTTGTTCTGATCCACACCCTATGGAAACTTCTCATCTTTTGTCTTCCTGTGGATATTACTTACAGAAAGAAAAGAAAGAGACCCAGTCAGTCAGCCAGACAGCCCTAATCCTCGTTTCAAATTTAAAATTGAATGCCATTCTGAGATGTATATCTCAGTCTATTGTGAGTTTAGCCTGCAAGGGCGATTCTCTCCCTATTGGATTAACCTTGGGATGAATTAAATGATAAGAGTGGAATTTTGGCTTTGGGAGTTGAGAGTCAGAAGCCAGACCACTGTGATTTTCTAAAAGCTGTGACTGCCCCCTTGCCTTTTGCAGGAGACTCCTTGTCTCTCACATGTGTCCACCATTTTATTTAAATTTCCTATTTTAAAAGTAACCATCCTCTTGTAAGGCATTTAAACCTTCCCTCCTTGGATTCATCAATTAGCACTGAACCCAGAGCTCTCAGGCTGAGAAACATGCATCTCCTAGATGTTTCAGGCCTGAATCCTGAGCTCTGAGAGCTGCCAGATCCTGCATTGAACCCAGTCTCAGCCTGGATGCTGGGTTACATTGCCACAGCCATGGTTTGGCTACTCTTTCTTGTTGTGTTTCATATCTGTCTCTATGAGATGTGCTGAGAGGTAATTTAAGTTTTTATGGCCACCATTCTGTTCCTAAAATGATTTCCAAGATTCATGCATTCATTTGGTGTTCCCTAAAAGCTTTGTGTATGCCTGGCACTAGAGAACCCATAGAAACTTGGAGTGGAATAGCCATGAGGAGCCCAGATTTCATGTAGCCTTTCTTGAATGAATTAAGTACACCTATTGGGAATGTACTACACACATTATACTAGGCATTAGGGGAAGGTTGTTTATGATCCAAAGTTGAATAAAGAATGTCTTCCAGAATTCTTCCTCTGTAGTCAAATGAAGGCTTGATCTCTCACATTTGTTTTAAAGAATTGTGCTGACCTTGGCTTTCTCTACACACACACACACACACACACACACACACACACAGACACACACACACACACACACACACACACACACACACAGTCCTCCAAACATTTGTTATGCAAACCAACTGATTAACTGGCATGCTGTTGCTCTACTACATTGATTTTAGAACTAATCGAGCTATTCACATTCCTGAATACCCTGAGAGAGAATTATTCCTACATCTTATAATAATGACTATACAGATGAAAATATGAAAGACATTCTGCAATGGATAAACATTCTGGGTTAATTTCAGTGCATTAGCCTAATACACAAATAACCCCACTTCTGGCAAGAAAACCCAGGATGTTAATTCACTGGGTAATATATTTTTGTATTTTGCTTACAGATGTTCAGAACAATTCCATGTTTATTAGTCTATTCAAAAGCTTCTAGAAATCTGCACAGCCAAGTGGCACCAAAACCAGAAGCATGAAAGGGACTGTACAACTTTTTCTTGTAAATGAAATTTACACCATCATCACAGAAAATCCGAGGCCCAGATACTTTCTGTATCAACAGAATAGTCCAGTGGATTTTCAGACAACATGTTCAATAGAAGTTGAACAGGAGCCTGGGTCTGGGAGGAGCAGAGTGTTGGAGTCCTCATATCACTTTCTGGT